TGGTAGGCCTGGATCTCCTTTTTTGGCGATGAATGGTGAATGTACAAGATAGTTGAAATTATATCCTTCACCATACCTTGTGCTTATCATGTTGACAAACTCAAGCTTTCCTTTCTCAAACTTGAGTTCCTGTGTTCCTTGTAGCTAATTCTTCTTGTTCTTACCTTTGGCTTGCTCAAGTGTAGTTGGAGGTTTTTCCTGTAACATTTTAGTGGACAAAAATTTACCGATTTTAAAGGAAAACTTCTCCATTCTATCTTTATATTGCCCGTGCTAACGCTCCGGTAAAATCGCCAATACAGTTATCACCCTGGACATTCTATTGTACACAGAACTTGACAAAATAAATCACCAAAGAGAGTATACATTGAATTTCATAACAAAATAATTAAAGGTCGATTCTACAGTGGTGTCTACCAATTTAGACTTGTGTAAGCGTCCAGGCTGAAATACTTGATAAAAATCCAGTGTGTTAATGTTGTCTCATCAAGTGCCAACCCAACTGCATTGGTGGTACCCTGACAAAGAGGTCCTGCGGAACAACCATATGGAAACCGAAACTTCCAGTTTTACAGTACAGCCGGGAAACTTGCAAGTCTTAGCTCTGTAGGGAAGAAAACAGACTAGAGGTAACTTCAACTCCCCCAGTCTCAAAGTTTTCAGGGTGGCCCGATGTGCTGCTTCCCCATTGCCTGAACTGCTTCAAGTCCTCCTGCAGCACTATAGCAGCCGTTAAAACAAATTCAATCGCACAAGAGGTAATGTACATGTTCCATACGAACCAGCAAGGAGCTCAGCTAAACATGAGTGATTAGGGGCCCACTTGTGTAAGGTGGTTCAAAAAGTACTTTGCTTTCTTGAGTTTATTTTATTCATCAAGCAAAATCTAACCTATTGAATCTACCATGGTTTAGCTTTCTGTGGTACATAGTTCATGAAGAACTAGTAGTAATTAACAAGTGTAATTGGTCAGACTCACCAGGCTATGTAGCTCTAGTCTTATACATAGTATATGTGCAGGTGTGTTGCGTTATTTTGTCCTATTGCTTGCCATTTTGCAGCAGTAATCTCTCCATTCTTCATTTGACATACGAAGAAAACCCAAGACACAGGAGATTACACTAATACCCTTGACTATTATACCTTAACACCCCCTCTCAAATGCAACGTGAATGCAATGGCATTGCATTGGAGAGTTGTTACTACACACTAGACTTGAAAAATAAAAGAGATGAATTACTTCCAAAATCCAAAATAAAAGATGTCGAACCGTGCAACTCTTGAACAATGTCGATCTCCTCCATAAGAGGGTACTGCCTTCACAACATGTACTTCAGCAAATACCTCAAGTCTTCACAATACAGTACATCAACTCTTCAAATATGAACCTTGCTTTGGAGACTTTGAACTCAACGATAATAGATATGTGTCAAATCAAGCCAAAGGAAGAACAAATAGATCACTGCTGCAAAATGGCAAGCTGTAGAGCATAATAGTGATCACGACAAATAGATGGCCATTGATCATGAAGTGAAGCAAAATGGCTACGAAAGAGACCAAGAGGGCATAGTCGCATCAATAATGACAATGATTAGCTAAATTGACAATACTCAGCTAACCAAAGAAAAAAATAAAAATTGACTGATTTGACGAAGGGCGGACCTGGTGCAAGCGGTAGAGTCTTACCGCCTGTGACCGGAAGATTCTGGGTTTGAGTCGCGGTCTCCTCGCATTGCACAGGCGAGGGTAAGACTTGCCACTAACATCGTTCCCCAGACCCCGCACAGAGTGAGAGCTCTCTGCACTTGGGTACGTCCTTTTTTTGACTGATTTGATGATAAATTTGTGGACTCACACGGTATCAACAAATTGTAGTGTAGAGAACTGCACTTGAATGGATGCTGATGCAACATATGCAATGGAATTAAGAAAAAAAAAATTGGACCTCAATATAAGCAGAAGGAATGATAACAGCATCAGGAATCAAACAACATCAAAAGGTTTGGAAGCACCACCGATGTTTGAAGAGCGGGAGCAGACTAGGCACAAAACAGAGGAGCAGACCAGGCGGATCCGAGAAGCACACCTCCACGACGGCTGGATGCAGTAGTGGAGAAGCATAGGAGGACGAGCATGCGGTGCGCACATGGCCAGGCGGTGCGCGAAAGGGCGGGCAGCGTAGACGATGCGCACACAGGTGGGCTGCGTGGACGGCGCGCGATGGACGAAGGTGAAGGGCTGCAGGCATGCGGGCATCATGGACTGCCCCAACAAATGGCAAATAACTCCCGTGTGGATGGCGTGCATGGGGGCAAACGACGGCTGAGGCAGATGTAGACGCACAGCGCGGTAATGGGCCACATGGACGACGCGGTGACGGGCGAAGACGAACTGATGCGCAACGGAGATCGGACGGCGCGGATAAAGACCGCGTGGCGGAGACCACGGACGACGCAGGTGAAGGCCGCGAAATGACAAATTCCCCATGACCGCGCGCGTAAAGAAGACCGCGGCAACACGCGCACGCATGAGAAATCCCAGGTGCACGGACCGCACGAACGCTCGCGACGGGACCGCAACGTGCATCTCGACAGGGATGATGGCACCCGACGAAGGATGATGGCTGATTTGCTGATCTGGATATAGCGAAACAGAGTTGCTGGCTTGAACGAATTGCGACAGCTGCTGCTGCATGACTATTGGACACGAAGAAAAATAAAATGAAAATCATAGATCGACGAGGTCTGCCCTCAGAATAGAGATGATCATCCGAGGGCAGCGCAACAAATAGAAGGACGGTGGCAGGATCGAAAACCTAGAGCTTTAGTACCATGTTACAAATAAAGGGACACTGAACTGGATTAATACTATTAAAGCCCAAAAGTGTGTGTGTTGGGGGGATATATAGAGTACATAGGAAAGAAACCCTAGACACAGGAGATTACACTAATACCCTTGTCTATTATACCTTAACACGTGCCACCAAGCTTCTTGTAAAGCGAGGTTGGGCATTAATGTATGTAAGATGCGACAGGATTTCGTGAGTAGAATGTCTTTTCTCGAAGGATTAAATCCACTTTTGACCCCTCAACTATTGTGTTGATCTAATTTTAACCCTCAACTACAAAACTGTCTAGTACCGGTACCCCAACTGTCAAAACCGTTCACTTTTAGCACCTGAACGGGGGCAAGGCTGTTTTGACCGACGTTGAGCGGTTTTGACCACGCCACGCTGTTCGGCTTTTAGTGGTGTGTATGTGTGTGGGCCCATAGAGATGGATGGATATGTGGCTGTCGTGACTCGCTGGTGGAAAACAAAATAAAATAACAGAGAGAAGGGAGGCAGAGGCATGGTTGTCGTGCTCCCAAGGCTCGTCCGTCATGGACGACTACTGGAGCTTCGTCACCCGACGATTCCGACCACCATTCATGAATCCAAGAGCATGGGGAGGGAGAGGAGGATGAGGGGGTTCCTGTAGGCTAATCATCTCAGCTGCTGGCTGCTTGAGGGAGGAGATCGACGAGGGCGGTTTGCTTGCTAAGCAGCAGAGAGAGAGAGCAGCGTGGAGCTTGGGGTGGATGGGTAAGCTCTGGGTGACGAAGAGCACCACGGTGAGGCACCACAGCGGCTGGCGAGCTTGGCTAGGCCCCGGGAGCTCAACGCCTCGGCATTCATGGCTGCTACAGAGCGCGTGCATCGAAGGACGTCCGGCGCGCATGGCACGTGGTGTGGCGTGCGACGGCAATGGTGGCTCCAAGCAGAGCAACGATGGGGCTGAGCCGGCGGGCCCGCATGGCCATGGCTTATCGGCAACCGGCCAACTGTGTTGCTCGTGCCGCCACCCTGCTCGCGTGTCACAGGCGTCGTGCTGCTTGAGCGCCACCGCCCTGCTCGCGCACCGCTACTGCCCTCGTCGCCCTACTCGCGTGCTGCCGCTGCAACTTGGCAACGTCGCCCTACTCGCATGCCCACGCGTCCCAATCGCGTGCGCTCGCCGGCCATGGCGCGACCGCCTGCTCGTCCGATGGCCCCCGCGCGTGAGCCCAACGGCGGCTTAGCTGGCCCAACGCGGCAGCCCCTGCGTGCGCTCGCTCGGCGACGTGGCAGCCTACGAACGAGTGCAAGGGGAGCAGCGGCCACAGTGGCGCAGCTGGTGGTGCTCAAGCTCGGCGTCCATGACACAGTCGCCTGCTCGTCCGGTGGCGGAGCAGCACACACGCGTGAGCCCGACGACGGCTCGACTGGAGTTGCACCTCACTGTCTCGTCACCGTCAGGAGCTACGCCTCACTGTCTTGACTGGAGCTACACCTCACTGCCTGTCCGAATACGGCTGGAGCCGAAGGAAGGAGAGGGAGGGAATGAGTGGGAGACGTGCGGGCCTCACATGTCGCTGAGATGCAGGCCAGCGTCCTATGTGACGGTCAACGTCAGCGTGGCGTGGTCAAAACCGCTCAACGTCGGTCTAAACAGCCTTGCCCCCTCCCAGGTGCTAAAAGTGAATGGTTTTGACAGTTGGAATACCAGTACTAGACAGTTTTGTAGTTGAGGGTTAAAATTACACAATAATTAAAGGACCAAAAGTGCACTTAATCCTTTCTCGAACTGAAAAATGGAGCAACAGCAGAAAGGCTATAGGGTGCTGAGTGAATAAAACTAAGATTGGTGTTTGGAGGCACGAGGCCAACAGCAGAACGGCTAGATGATCTTTCACCAAATAAAGGAGCATGGAATTCAACTTTAGCAAGTTGGATCTCTTACCTGTTCTGCAGATGTAGCCATCTAAGAAAATGTTGACAGAATGCACATTCACTGTATAGCACGGGCAACGTCTAAACATGTACACACTGAAATGTAAATAAACACACTGAAAAAACATAGCAAATCAAATGTCCGATACGTGTGATGATGTATGAAATCGATTATTTGCTGGCCACGCAGAACATTTTCATGAATTTTTCCACAGCCAATTGTACCTTCCATTTCAGCAAATGTGTGCTATCACAGTGGCAAAGTCTTCAAGCACTTCAAATCCCTGCCAAGCCTGTAAACTTGACCCAACGATAGGCTGACGGTGGTTGTCTGGTCCCCATAGTGAACCCTTGCAAGGGAATTCTGCCCGCCACTAGACCATAGCAGAGCTTCATGGAGGCTCCCTTCCTTCCAGCTGATGTTTACAGTCACACCACCTCGGGCCTTTAGACCTTTAACATAGCCTTGAGGCCACTTGTTGCGGGGTAAAGCTGGGAGAAGGTACAAGTCGGTCCCAGTGCTCTGTACCAGCATTTCCGACAATGCAGCTGGGAACCTGTAAGAGAACCATTTGTTTTTACAAGATCTCCAAATATATTAATTAAAACAAAGAAACATGATTACAAAGGTTTGGGATAATCAATCCCAAAAGACACATGTAGCTCTAAGACTACGACCAAAGAGTCATCACAGTGACTCGTACAGAGGCGTTCCCAAACAAAGGACCAAAGCAGTCCAAAAAATGTAAACAAGCACTTCCGCTGTAAACGACATAGGGGATGTCTTCGTCGGGGGCACGGGGCCTTAAGAAAGAACTGGCCACGACGAAGACACCAAGGATCCTCATTATCGCACTCCAATAGTACAACCAGCACTCCCCTCAGCTATCTGATCGGGTATGTCTTAGAGGATTTACAGTCTTGAGTCGTAGATGCTGATTGAGTGCTACTGGACACAAGAAATTAGCTTCATCTCTCCAATCGTTAAATCTGAGGACCAGCAACAGTCAGCGGTCAACCCGAACGCTTGAAAAATTATACCACTTCCATATCGATTGCTACTGAAGAGCAGAGCATTAGAGTGCTGTCTGAAGCAAGACCTCTTGAGAAAGTAGCTTTGAACTGAAACTTCTTGCTCCAAAAGAAACTACTAAGCAAGCTGGACACGCAAGAACAAGCCACGCCAAGCAAGTTGGACACGTAAGAGCACATGCCGCAACAGGAGACCGTGAAGGCCAACCTTCCTGCACAAACCTTTCTGCACCTGTATGAACATGTGCTGCCACCCTTGACCAAAAGCCAAGAAAGGCTGACATGGAGGGCCCCAACAGCAGCAGCATCGAGCACAGCGGTCACAACAGTGCCGGTTCCCAGGGAAGCTCGGCAGCCAGAGAGCAGCAGCACGGTGCCCGGCACCGCCACTAGACCACGACACCGATGACCGCCCAAATCAGGGCAGGTAGAAACGTGACAGAACCTTTCCGTCGGGCCAGCCATGTTTGGCGGGGGCAATGACTAGCTGCCATCATGGGCGGATGCACGGAGGCTGCAGCCCCCCCATGTATAGGGAGCAGGTCCTCGTGGCCGAACTCACAGCTCCTCTAAACCAGCCTGTCACCAGACACCAGAAGCCATGCCCCCCTCCTGTTCCCATCTGCGTCGGCGTTGCGGTGTCCGACGGACTCCCAAGTTCTGACTCCGTCACTCCAAGCAGGGCTGCAGGCTGCAGGTGCTTAATTACTTGTTGCCTTGCTGAGGTAGAAACGTGTGCAGTCATCTTGCTTGCTGGTCAGCCATCAAACCCCACAGCTAGAAGCCTTGCTTGTTGTAATGTGGGCGCAGGTTGCCTTGCTTGCATGGCATGTGGCGAGCGCACGGCATGAGGGCGTAGTGATCGCGTTGGCAGGTGCTTACAATGTGCTCGACGAAATGACTGAGCAGGTATGTGCATCTCTGTATCTATCATGAAACTGTATTGCCAGCCTTTCCATTATTGTATAGCTACTATGATTTCTAGGCTTATATTATTTAGCCCCCCTTGTTCTGTTTCTGGATCCGCCACTGGCTGCCATGGCCAGCCCATCCAACCCATGGATGGTGCTGCCCACATTAACCTCCTTGCAAAGACTCGCCTCCCTGTCGTGCCCTCGCCGCAACAGCACGATGGAGGAAAAGGCACGACGACCGTGGCCCCGCCGATGAACAAGACCCCTGTGCCCGCAATTTAGATGCAAGTGACGACGCCTACCCGACGACGTTGCCGCTGTTGGTAGACTGGACGACCAGCAGGACACCCACTTCCCTTGGTGGCAGAGCAAGTAGGGACCAAGTGCACTCCAAGGGCAAAGATGACATCGAAGCCAGCCGTGGGGCAGGAGGATCCGGCGGCGCAGATGGGGATGGAGTCGAATTTGGCGTGGCTTGAGGCTCTCATGGCCCCAGCACCTACATAGGTGGAGGTAACGATGGAGCTGACCTCTGGGAGGTGGCGATGGCGGATGGAGCCGACCTCTGGGATGGAGGAGCCGCCGCCACTGGAGACGAGGATGACGGATTCACAGCCGGGGACGAAGGCCCTAGCGGCCATGGCAGTGGTGCCGCAGGCGAAGGGTATGCGATCTCGCGGCCAGAGCCTCCCTAGGTTGTGGCAACCAAGAGCCGACACCACTGCCGAGCCACCGTAGGAGCTGAGCACCATGAGAAGAAAGGAGAAACTACTTCACAATGCCACACCTAGAGGAGCCGAGCCACCGTTGTCCTTGATGCCGCACCCATCCGGGCAACTACTTCACAACTAGGTAGCCTAAAACTTGGGCAAGATAGGAGGGAGGGTGGGCAGGGGTGGCCCACATTCCCCTCGCCGGTGAGCTCGCCAGAGGAGCACGGGGAGGGGGCCAAAGTCTCCGCTCTCCCTCGCTAGGAGAACCACAACTCTCGCTAGGACAAGCACAACGTGGCCCTCTATAAATAGCAATGATTCTATTGCTAGTTTTTTTTCCCCTGGAATGGAAGTCTAGCACATTCTGCATGTCCAGTAATACTTCTTCCATCTAACAGTTTAAATCGTTTTAGCCTTCGGCACGGTGACCAAGGAGCAGCAAAGCATCACAGATTTCCATTTAATCGCGCGCTGACGCTGCTGAAAATGTCGTTAGCCCACTCATAATCGTGCACTCACGCCTACAACCAGTTCTTTTTTCATTTGATCTTCCATTAGATGTTGCCTAGACTAAAATTTGGCTGCACCACAGAACAAAACTTAGCCGCCAACGCATCAAAATTTCATTGCCAGCCACTCCTCAAGTTCGTTTTTGCCATGGCCTATATAAATCACCATGGAGGATCGCTATGCCCAGGTACTTCCAGCGAACTATCCCCCTCGCTTCCTCTCTTTCTCTACCTCTGATTCATGCTGGAGAACCAAAGCAATGCCTGTGGGGGGTATAACCCCATGTACCCACGGCAATGGGCATGGGTCGCACTGCCTGGGGAGGTCCAGCCCATAAGATCAAGACCTACGGTGCCCAGTTCTGGTCGGCGTGCACTGCAAGGCAATCAGAAGATATCTTGGCGATGAAGGAAGATCTTTTCGGATATGATAGATATCGTATTCCTTGTAAATACTTACCATATAACCGAATAGATCTAGGCCTAAACCGACTTGTAACCCTACCCCTCAGACTATAAGGTGGATAGGGACCCCCCTCGAATTCAGTTCATATTCAACACTATCCAACAAAGACACAGGACGAAGGGTATTACGTTGATCAGACGGCCCGAACCTGTCTAAATCGTTGTCTCTGCGCCTTGTGTCACCATCCGGTTCCTATTACACGCACCTCTACCGATCATCTACTACCGTGGGTATACCCCTCGGTAGATTGCCAACCAGATTTCGCCGACAATGGGGCGCCAGGCAGGGGGTATGCGTGCTGATTCCATGGCCAACCAGACAATCACTTTCCCGAGCTCCATGCCTTTCCCGAGCCGGGCCAGATCTTCACGGTCAGATCCATGACTTGGGTCATCGGCCCTAATAGTAGCAGGGAAATCATGGAGGCGGTGCTGGATCACCCTGCGCCGATCATGCCAACATCTACAACGACATCTCCGATCCCGACGCCTCGCCGCTGGGTTAAGAGATCCATCAACAATAACGATCTGATCGAAGCTATCGATTGGGTCACGGACCGCTTAGCGGAATGTCAGCTCCTCGTGGATTCGGTCTTAGAACGATCTAGAGCGAGCGACGAAGCTCCTGCACTCCAAGGTCACCATGCCACTAACGCCATGCGCCCCGCTCGTGCACACCATCCGAGGTGGCAAGATGAAGATTTGGTGATCACGGCAACTCCGGAAGGGCGTACCGTTCAACGCCGACCACTCCCCGCCCCAACGGAGAGCGTACCGAGGCCCTATCCTTTTGGGCTAGTGGGTGAAGATCCGATCTGTCAGGACGCCATGCACCATCTTTTCGCCGACCACACCGAGCGCAGCCACGTCAACGACTTCTATCAGATCGACTTCCTTGAGGCCGACCAGCCTGCGCCAATGATAAACATGGTGTAAATCCGAACAGATCTTCCGGATGACACGCTCCATACAATCCTAGAGGAAAGCCCCGAGCCATACTCCGAGGGCTCTACCAGCACCTGCCCACCTTTCCTCCTAGGCTTTGGGAGAGAGCTCTTCATGGTTAGCCACGATAGTGTTGCTATCGATGGAGAGACCAGTGTCCAACACCGTGAACGTGAAACCAGGAACGCCGATCGCCAACGGCATCACAATGAAGAAGACGCCGTCCAAGCTGCCGGAGGTGACCCGCCGTCTCTCGCTCGTAATCTCCAATAGGAGTTCCTCATGGTGGACAACCAGCAAGTAGAGCAGATGCCAAGCGCCAATCTGGCTGTGGCCACCCACGAGTTGGCTCGACTCCCGCCAACGCCGGAGGTACTCAAGATTCAAGCACTGCTTAAAGTAGCTCAGGTCCAAGTCAACGACATCCGAAACCCAGCTCCGTCTTATTCGACAGCGACCACACGCAGTCGTAACCCCCGTAGTTTTCGCCGTGATGGGGGGAGTCGTTACCATAGCGGCCAAATCGTCCAAGGGGGGTCTAGGGGCAATGTTGCCATCAATCCCGGATCACAAGGACCATGAAATCAGCGATCAGCTCGTAACGCCAACCAGGAGGTTAATCAACCTGTGCGCGGTGACGCCCGTGACCGCATCAACGCCAATCTCGATGCCTGCAATCACATCGAGAACAGTCGTGCCCAGCGACATCAAGCAGAACTCCAACGCCGACAGGAGTACGACGACCAACACGGCGACCCTGTCGGCCTCCGACCACTCCCCGCTATCGAGCCGATAGGACCCCGCCCCTTCACAGCAAGGCTGCGAGTTGTACAATGGCCTGCAGGCTTCAAGATCTTCGGGGTCGATCCCTACGACAGCAAGGCTAATCCCGAGCAGTGGATGCAGCTCTACGAGATAGCCATACGTGCCGCCGGGGGAAACGGTGACGTAATGGCAAATTATTTGTCTGTCATGCTCT